AGAACTCTGAATATATGATGAATTTAACGGAAGAGATATTTCACTATTTAGTCAATAAAGTTCTTAAAAAGGAAGAGCTTAAATTTAATTCTCATGTCATTAATCTTAAAAACTCTTTTCATAGACTATCGATGGTAGAAGCGATTAAGGAACATGCCAATATAGATTTTTCCCAAATAAATAATTTAGAAGAAGCCTTAGAATTAGTCAAAAAACATAGTTTAAAATTAGAAAAATTTCAAAAAAGTATTGGACATGTTGTTTTGGCCTTTTTTGAGGAATATGTGGAAAAAAAATTAATTCAACCGACTTTTATTTATGATTATCCCATTGAAGTTTCACCATTAGCCAAAAGCAAAGTTGATAGTAGAAATATTGCCGATAGATTTGAGTTGTATATTGGTGGATTAGAATTTGCCAATGGTTATAGTGAGTTAAATGACCCCATCGAACAAAAAAAAAGATTTGAAGAACAAACTAAACAAAAAGAGTTAGGGAATGAAGAAATTGCTAGTTTTGATAAGGAATTTATTGAAGCCTTAGAGTATGGTATGCCACCAGCAGGAGGGTTAGGGATTGGCATAGATAGATTAATCATGTTATTTACCGATAAAAATAGTATTAAGGAAGTGATTGCTTTTCCGCAGTTGAAAAATAAAGAAAAAATGCAAAATTAATTTAACATGGAACAGAAGTTTAAATTAGTATACAGAGTAGGAAAACTGGATAAGGAATTTTCAAAGTTAAAATTGGTCAAAAAATCTGGAAAAGAAGATGAAATTCAAAAATTTTTTGAAAATAATCTAGTAAATATATTTCCTAAACTTAAAGTATTTACCTTTGATAAAAATGGAGAAAAGACAACCAAATATAATTTTAAAGGGGGGCAACTGGATGCCATTGGCTGAAACCCTTTGGGAAGGTTTTTTGTTATTTTTGAATATAAAAGCCAAAATTTATCTTTAAAAGTAGAGCAAATTGTTAGATATTTGGACACATTTTCTGACGAGTATGGGAAAGTTTGTCATGAGTTATTTGAGAATTTAAACGAAACTTTTCCAAAAAACGAAAGAACATTATGAAAACATAAAGAAATTGAATGAAAACTGTTAAAACTTGTTTGAATTTCCCCAGACGCCCTTCCTTATAAAAAAAACTGAATTCCTCGGACTATCTGAGTAGAAAGCGAATGATACGAAGATAATGATGAAAAAGTAGTTTGGTTGGAAAGTGAGGATGAAGAAAATTTATTAAAGCAATTATCTAGTGAGGAAAAGGAAAAATTAAAAGGAATTGAAACTCCAAAAAAAGAAATAGAGGATTTATCTCAACTTTTAAAAGAAATCCAACCTTTTAAAGAAGTAGAAAAATGAAGCGAAGAAATTCACAAAATTGCCACGAAGGAATTTTCTTTGACCCTTGAAATACATCCTAATCCACGATGGAGATGAATGTTTTATAAGATAAACAAACAAACGCTCTTTTGGAACTTTGTAAGCAAAAAAAAAATTACAATATACTTTGCTAACACAGATGAAAATAAATTTTTAGTAGAAAGGCACATGTTGCAAGAAACTCCCACAATTTTTAAATGAGTGGTCAACAATAAGGAAAGTTTTGAAAAAGCCTTATTTTTGTTAAGGGAGTTTTGACGGCAAAGAAAGCATAAAAAATAGAGAATTATATAAACAACCATCGCCAAACCCGAATTCGAAAAAATCAAACCCCAAGCCCTAATCATTGACGTTCGGGATAATTGAGAGAACCAACAACTAAAAAAACTACCCAATAGTATAAATATTCCTTTTTTAGAGTTAGTTAATAAACTAGAAAAATATATTTCTGCTAAAAGCTGGTTAGTTATTGCTTACACTGTAACTATGGCAATCATTCGGGTCAATCAGTCAAGGCGTTTTGAGTTATTAATTAACTTCATTTCTAATCAACCCCTTTTAATAACTGAAAAATGGCAATTTTAAATCTATTAAAAAATCCCAATGCTAACCCTCTTTCATATTCTAAATTTTTTTTCTATCTCTTTTCCCTTCTGAGCATTCTTGATTTTACTTTGGTGATAAAAAATAAGTTATAAAACAAGACGGATGGTAAAAACTGAAAAAAAATCCTACAAAGAAGTCTATCTACACTGGATTTTAGCAAATTTTAACTTTATAAAAAGGGACGGTCAATACGAATACATCAAAAATGGAAGTAGAATTTCCATTAATCTTAACAATGATTCTTGACTTTTTGAACAAGTAAGAGTTGAGCACAGAAGAGTATGAGATCTTAATGTAGAGGAAAATATTATCAAGTTAATTTTATGCTTAAAATTACTGGAAAGAGGCTATAATAAGAGAAATATAATTTTAGAAAAATCTTTTCGGTTAGGTCATAACAATACTGGATATGTTGATGTTGCTATTGAAAAAGATAATCAAATTTATTGAATGATTGAAGCAAAAATTCCTCATGAATTACCAAAATACTTAGAGCCTGGGCAAAAACATGTCAAACAATTATTTTCTTATCTATGGCAAGAAAAATCTACCAAAATTGCTTCTTATTATACCTTTGATTTAACTTCAGAAAAGGATCGCTTTTACAACATAAATTTAGGAAAAGATGAACTATCTAACTCCTTAAATGTTGATAACTTAATCGATAGGTGAAACAAGCAATTTGACGAGACTAATCTTTTGTTGTCCCAACCTTTTGACATAAAAATCAGTGGGAAAAAATTTCGAGACCTAAAAGATATTTCGGAAAAAGATTCAAAAATTTTGTTTAATCAATTTTTAACTATTTTGAGAACTAATGCAATTTCCGATAAATCCAATGCTTTTGATAAAATCATAAATCTCTTTATCGCGAAGGTTTTTGACGAGCTCGGTGAAGACAAGCAATTTGATGTAAGAATGAAAGACGAAAATATAGTTAATTTCGAAGGCCTAAAATTTCAATTTCTCGAAGGTATTGATAGTTATGAGAGTTTCATGAAGCGACTTTATGACCTCTATAAAGAAGGAATGAAGGAATATTTACAAAAAGAAATAATAGACTACTCAGACTATGAAGTATTAACTCTTTTAAATTAAAAGCAGAATCAAAAAGTATTAGAGATGATTGATGATTTAAGGCTAAAAAAAGACAACACTTTTGCCTTTATTGAAGTTTTTGACAACAAGACATTTAATGACAACTGCCTAATTGTTAAGGAAATTGTTAATTTGCTTGCCAATTTCAAGTTTAGATATGCTGACAAGTCAAAGTCGCTAGGAGAATTTTTTGAGGATTTATTAAATACATCTTTAAAACAGGAAGCGGGTCAGTTTTTTACACCTTATCCGCTTGTAGATTTTATGATAAAATCTTTACCGATTAGGGATGTCATAAAGCAAAATATCCAGCAAAACAGAAATGAAATACTTCCTTTTTTTATTGATTATGCTTGTGGTTCTGGTCATTTTCTAATAAGTTATATAAATAGAGTTCAGCAGGAGATTAATGGTTGAGAAATAAATGATTCCTATACTGAAAATATAAAAAATAAAATAAATTCATATAAAACCGCAAATTTTTCTTGAGCCAAAGATTATGTTTTTGGGATTGAAAAAGATTATAGATTAGCTAAAACAACTAAAATATCTCTATTTTTAAATGGGGATGGCGATGCACAAATAATACATGCTGATGCTATTAATAAATTTTCTTGTGAAGATTATTCAAAATCAGTACTCTTTTCCAATAAAGATAAGAACGAAAAATTTGATTTTGTTGTTTCTAATCCTCCTTACTCTGTGCAAGGCTATATGAAAAATTTCCGAAAAAACAACATTTCCGAAAAAAGCAATACTTTTGAATTACTTGAAGAAATTAATGAGAAAGATGCTAGAATAGAAATAATGTTTGTTGAACGAACTTATCAATTGTTGAAAAAAAATAAGTTTGCTGCCATAATATTGCCGCAATCATTCTTATCACAAGAAAAATATGCGAAAACTAGAAGATGGTTGCTGGAAAGATTTAATATCTTGTCAATATTCTGTAGCGGAGATAATACTTTTGGTTATACCACTACTTCGCCTTGTATTCTTTTTTTAAAAAAAAATTCACAGATCAGCGAGCACTTAAATGGGAATCTGAATTATAAGGTTTTTTTAATTAATTCCCCAAAGATGTTTCTAGCTTCTAAGGACACAAAAGAAACCTTAAAAAAAGAAAGAGAATTCTTGGGCTACGAATTCAGCCAATCAAGAAATAAAAGTGGAATTAAAATATTAAACGACAATCTAGTGAAAAAATATTCTAATCATATTAATAACTTTTTTTTGAATAAAGAGGTTAATTATTCCGACAATGGTTCTAGAACAACCTTAATAAGCGAAATAATCTTAAAAGATGAAAAAGAAAATTATGTTATTTATCCTCGATATAGAAGACCCGATAATAAAAAAAAAGGATTTTACTTAAAAGACATTTCCTGTCTCGTTAACAAATGAGATGTTAAAGACTTAGACATAAGTTATTTAGAAACTCTTGAATATGTTGAAATTGGAAATCTTCAAAATAACCGAATTATTGGTTCTTTTAAAAAAGGTAAAACTTCTTACAGAATTGCAAAAAAAGGAGACATCTTGATTTCTTCTTTGACTCCTTCTCAAAAAAAAGTTGTCCTGGTTGAAAAAGATTATAAAGTCAGTAAAGCAGTACATGTTTTAAGTTTTCAAAATCTGATTCATAGAGAATATGTTTATAAATACTTATTGGAAAACAAATACAACATTTTTGGAGTCTTTAACTCTTTGCTAGACGGCTTCAAGATAACTTACTCAAAAATTAGCGAGTTTAACTTAATGAACTACGTTTTTTTTGAAGGAGATGTAAAGATGGATTAGTTTTTTAATAATAAAAAGTTTATATTATGCGTATTACCGACCCCAATTTTTTCATGGTTAGTGCTGATAAGTTAGCCCAAAAGTTATTGGGTAAAATACTAGTTCGGAACCTCAATGGTCAACTTATCAAAGTCAAAATTGTGGAAACCGAAGCCTATATAGGCAAAATTGACCGGGCTTGCCATGCTCATCAGGAAAATAGGTCAAGATGGAAATCCGCCGCCTTAAATAATCGGGGTGGTTGTGCTTATGTTTATCTTATTTATAGTATGTATTATTGTTTTAATATTGCCTCTTCGGTCAAAGGAGACCCGCAAGGCGTATTAATCCGTGCCGCTGAACCACTAGACCACCACACCATTCCGGTTATTTCCCACCACGACAGCACCAAGAAATTCCACTACTATACTAATGGTCCAGGAAAATTATGTCGAGCATTAAATATTGATATAAGCCTTAATCATGTTGATTTAACTACTAGCGACTTAATTTATTTGGAGGACCAACCAGAAATTAGCCAGGAAGAAATTATTACTACCAAGCGAGTAAATATTGATTATGCAGGGGAGGACAAAGACCGTTTATGAAGATTTTATATTAAAGGTAACCCTTTTGTTTCACGGAAATAACTGCTAAGAATAACTGTTATAGAGATAAGAAGCAAATTGGTACAATAATAAACCTAAACTGACAACCAAGAATAAAAAAGTGAAAGCAAAAAATAAAAAAAGTATCCATCTTCCAAGGGTAATCTGACCTTTTTGGTATTTTTTTAACATAAAAAGAAAGAAACTAACAAGGAAATACAAGAGAATAAATATCAAAAATGAGAGAAATAAAATCAAATTAAAGTCCCTTTTCTTGTCATAATATGATGCTTTTTTCATAAATTTTTTTAAGGACATTCGCATCCAATCAGGAACCAGAACGCCTTTTTTAACGAACTATTACTTGTATTATTTTGCTATTTAGTTAAAGGAGAGATAGAATAACTAAAAAATACAAAATTTAAAAAAACTTAACAAGAAAAAAAAGAGGTAAAACCTGCTATACAGGAAAAACTCAATATGAAAAGAACAAAAAAAACTTGTTAAGTAAAAGATAAAAAAACTTTATAAAAATGAATAATGAATAAAAAAAAAAAAAAGACTAAAAATATCCAGGTAATTGATGGAGCCATTAATTGTCATTATCCCATTTATAGTATCGAGGAGGAATATTTTGATTTGATTTTTCCCAATGGACAGGATGTTGAGTTCATTGATGATTTTTGAGCCCGAATAAAGAAAACGGAAACCAAGGAAGGAAGGAAGAAATGGGACAAGATTTTCGAGGAAATGTGAAAAAATAGAGTAGATAAAAAGTCAGTTAATGGCATTCATGGAACATTGTTTTATGAACTAAATTTCAAGAAAAAGTATTATCCTACTAAAATATGAGAAGAAGCAGTGATACCAACTTCGGATGGCAAATTTATTAAAGATAATTATTTTTCTCGTTATCCAATTAAAAAAAATGAAGATTAACTACCAACCTAGTTTGATTATTCAGTTGCTTCCTGATCTAACATCCCCGCCTGGGTAAACATTGTCGTGGCTGCCATCAGGATATACTCTATCCCAATGAGGATTGCCATGTTGTTTGACATTATCGGTATTTTCGCCTGTGGGAACCCAAACCCTTCCTTTGTCGTCTGGATATCCTTTTTTATGATAACTTTTTGGAGCCCTTTCTAAGGTTTTGCCATCCCAACCTTTCTTTGGTTCGAATCCGTCTTCTTTGGTTGGCTTGCCTGGTGCTTTTTCTTCGAGACGGAGCATGCCTTTTAATTCGTCTAATTTAAAGCAACCACTGCGATCGTTATAACCCAAGTCGAGAAGCCTTTGCCGTTCTTCACCGCTGAGACCATTGCCCCACCAATCCCAAATGGTTTTTAATTCTCCTGAGTAAGTAGGGGAGTCGCAACACCCGCGAGAGGAGGAAGGTACATAAGAAGACGAGGGAGAACTACTTGTTCCTAAAGAGTCAACCGCTCTATATGTTACATAGGTAGCGGTTGCTCCAACTGTTGCCGCTGTGACTACTACGGCTGTTTCGGTAGCAACTTCTTCCAGAAAATATTTAAAAAGGGTAGTAAAAACAAACATCACCATAATCTAGGCAAAAAAAATAAAAATCCTTAGTAAAAAAACAAGAAAGTTTAACTTCAATAAAAAAAAGATAAGTCAAACTCACTTTATTTATCGGAGAAAAAACTTAAAGAACTTATAAAAACTTATTTTTTAGACCTTAAAGGTGAGGAACAGACAACTTCAAAACCCACCCTTTTTATAACCATTTCTTTTACTGCGGTTTCTTTCTAAAAAGTTCTAGCAGTTTCTATGGAAAGGAAAAAAAAGATTACGAACTCAATCACACCATTTTGCCAATCTAAAAAAAGAACTCTTAAAATGCCAAGATTACACCTATAAACAAAAAAGCGGTTAAATTATCCCATTTGGCTTATCAATTTTGCCTATCTGCTGTGCCAATCTCTTATCAATTTAACCGACATCTATAAAAGGTTTAGCAGTGCCAATCATTTATGCCAAGCATTTCAGCCCCTCCAAATAAAGATGGATAATCACTTATCTGAAACACCAAAACCCCTTACGACCTAATTTAACCGCTACCGCTTTGTTTCACTGAAAGATTTATTTTTATCTTTTCCATTTAAAGATTTATTGCCGTATCGTATGATTTTGCCAAGAGATAAGCCTATCTTTCTTTACCGCTTTCGGTAAAATTAATAGTTTCATCTTCACAGGCTTTTAATTGTTTAATCTACTGCAGAAATTGTGTCATACTTACAGAAAGCGGTAGTTGCTAGTTCCCCCCAAAGTGCTATTTTTGGTGAGAATGCAATTAGTAAAAGGGGATTTTAAAAGCGGAAAATAATTTGAATATTGTAATAAATAAATCGCGTCATAATTGATCGCGTTGTTTCCCTTGTTCGGGGTCGCTGTAAGTTTCGTATTTAATGTCGCTGGCCTTAATACCGCGATCTTTTCCGCTGGGGTCTTTTTGGAGAGTTATTAAGGTTAATATTCCTATTTCTCAACTATTCACTACCTCCGCTCATTTTTCATCATCGGGTTTAGTAGGTAGAATTAAAATAAACCGCTTTTTGGCTTGTCCCGCATCTCATTTAATTAATTGGTAAAAGTTGTCTAAATCCTCACACATTTCTAGAAAATCCGCCCCTAACATGGGCGAACCTTGGCGATCATTCTTAAAAATTAAAAAACGCTTGCCTATTCAGTTTTTAATCGCTATATTTTCGGGTTTGTCTCCATTTCCTCCGTGAATCTCCTCCTTGGTGGCATCATCAATCAAAACAAAACTTACCGCCTCTACTCCTGCCCGAGTTCGTTTAATTTTTGGTTGTTTCTTTCCGCTTCCGTTTACTTCCTCGGCTACGGTGGCTAAATGTCATTCTCCGCTATTTTCTACTAATTCAATTACGGCAATTTCTCCCCTTTTAATGGTCTCATCCTCAATATCAGATCACATATCAATTAAAGGTCCTGATCCTTCTAGTCGGCTAATCCCTATGTAATGATTATAGAACTTCCGCCTTAATTTTCCATCTCAATTCCAATTATCTAAATTAGTGTAGTTAGATAAGTCAAAAATGTCTATAAAATCGCTTTTAGTCATAATTTATTTGTTTTTTACTCCTCTCCGCTTTCCTCGTTAACATTCGGCACGGTTCACGCGAACTCTCCCGCAATTTGTCCCATGTGATGACGGATCTTTTTCTTTTGTAGGTCGCCAATAATTACCGTTTTGCATTTATTTATTTTGTCTACTATAAAATCCCAAGAAGGTTTAATGGTGTTAACTTTTTTCCTTAATTTGTCCCGATCGGCCTTGTATTGGTCGCGTTTTTTACGGGCTTCATCCCGTTCGGTGGCGGTAGTCTGTAAGTTTTGTTTAATCTCTTTTATTTTGTCATCCAATTCTTTTAAGTCCGCTACACTTTCTTTATTTAATAATTGGTTTACACTTTGATTAAGAATGGGGAACCTGGATCATCCGTCTAATAATAGGTTTAATTCTATTAAGTCGTTAACTCCTCATTTAGTCATTAATGCGACAAACTTATTTAAATCCGCCTGTAATTTGTCGGCGGTCTTTTGGGTTATTTTCTCCGCGTCGCGGGCATCTTTCCTTTCTTTTTCTAATTCGATCAATACTTCTTTAACCTTTTTGCCTTTTAAGAGGTGGTGGGCTTCATCCATATTGGCAAAACCTAATTCATCCTTTAAAAACTTCATTAATTCACCATTAACTTTTAACTGTTTTTTATGTTTGTCTTTGGCTTCGTCTCTTTCTTTGGTTAACTGGTCTAATTGGTCGTTAAGGTCTTGTAAGTCATCAGTTAACTTATCGGGATCTTTGTTGTAATCCTCTAAAAGTCCTTTTACTTCTTTGGGTTCCCGTAAATAATAAGGTTCAGTGTATCCACCAAAATAGATGGTATATTTTTTAGTCATATTTTCGTAAATATGGAATTATAAAAACTCTTTTTTTAATTCTCATGAGGTTTATTTCTCTTGCCATTTAACCGCATTTTTAAAAGGTATCATCCCTTGGAATAAGAAAAGTCATTTAAATAAATAACTTTTTAAACTCATCACATATCGGTGGGTATCAATAAAGATCCCGTTGCTAGGGTGATCGATCGCGGTTGCCATTTGGTATCCTTCTCGCTCGTAAAGGTAAATATGATCCTTGGCATTCTTGGGTTCGGTAATAATTACCGCTCCAAACTTACTACTTAATTCAACATAACCAACATTGAACGAAGGGGCATATAATTTACTTACGATCATACTGTTTACTTGCGGGCGGAGAACTAATATAAGTTCTTTCATGTCATAAGTGCAGATCAATTCCTTACTTTTATTAAACGCGATATTGTAATCCATCATTCGGTGGGCTTGGTTATCAATACTATTTCAAACAATCTCCGCGTGGGTAATTCCGCTGGTGGCGTCTTTTCCTATTCTAAATAATGCTTTGTCCTCTTTTAATATCGCTCCTTTGTTGTCCATTTCATCGTTGTAATTGTTATCATCTCCTAAATCCTCTTTTCAAGTTTCGGTAAAGTCGTATTTCATACGGTTTACGATGTTTCGCATTTTTATATTTAGGATCTGTTTAGTTTCAGTCGGTTTTTCGAACGCTAAACTACTTAAATCATCACTAAAAATATCACCATAATTACCATACTCCTTTAATTTCAAAGAGTGTTGAAGTTCTTTGCCTTTCTTAAAGTCTTTATAGTCCAAGTCCTCTTTTCACTTCACGGGGTCAGTTCATAAAAAGGTTGTATACTTGGCCTCTCCCGCTTCTACTTTGATGCTGGGGTTATAGTGTAAGTTTCAAATCGGGCTGGTGTTTTCTAAAACATTAAACAGTTTTGCGTTTACTATTTTATTATCGATCGTAGTGTGGAATAAATTTTTGTCTACCATATTATATTATTTGATTTCGTTATAGTTATTATTTGTAATTTTGCTTTTATATATATCAAACATTACCTTTTTTGCGTAAATGTTCGGTTTCTTTTATTTGGTCATCTAAAACATCGTAAATTAATTGAACTAATTTACCTTCTCCCGTCTGTTGGCGGTTGTCTACCGCGTCGCGGTATTCGGTTTCTTTACTGGCTCAATATTTCGTTTTGGCTATTTCCTCGGCGTTTTTGGCTTTGGTTAGTTCATCAATTGTCCGATCTAACTTTTCACCTATTTTAATTAACTGTATTTGGTAATCTTTATCTTTTTGGGCGAAGTCTTTCCGCTCCTTTTCTCGCTCAACTTTTAACTCGTTATACATTTCTAACGGCGTTTTTTCTTTCTGTAAATCGGGGCGGGGTTCTTTTAGTTGATTTTCGTTTTGATTATTATTTTGGTCGGTCATATTTTTATTTCAATTTCTCTAATAGTCTACTATTGGGGAATACTCGCTTAATATTTTCTTTAAATACTTGTCTTTCGGCTTCATCCGCTCTATTGTATAGGTCAACAATTCGATCCTCTAACTGATCCATAATTGTATTGGCAAAGTCAACCATGGCAGGAACGGCATTTTTAACTAATCCGCGGAGAACTCCAATAATGAAGTCTAACGCCCTTTCTTTTAAAAAGTTTAAAACGGTTTCTTGTCAAAACCCCGCAACTCCAAAATCGGCTTTCTCATGGACGTGAAGTCTAACAATATTTTCAATCGCATAATGTTCTCCATCTTGAACTCCTTTATTAAAGTCGCCTTGTTGAAAACTTTTAAACTTCTCTAATTCTCGATCTAAATCGCCTTTGCCTTTAATTACTCTGGCTCGGTTAATTAAACCTTCACTATGTAAAGTTAATAGATGGCTAACTACCGCAATTTCATTTAAACTTAATTCTTGGGGTTTTAATTCTATGTTCGAAGTATCCAAGGAACTTACAAACTCCTTTAATTCTTGGTAAGTTATTAATTTTTGTTTTCTCATTTTACCCTTATATATTTATATTTTAACGGCTTTTTTATTATAGAATAATAAAGACTTTCAAATTAATTTTCAATTTCTTTATTCCCTTTAATATTCCTTCTATTGTTCTTTTCTTTATTCTTTCTATATATTCTTTTGAATAATTGAATTAGATATACGAAGTATATCCAATTATTCTATTGAATTATATCCTTGAATTATGTTTTGAACTATACCTTGAATGTTAGTTTGAATTGTTTATATTAGCGGGCTTATCGCCCGCATTTTTATAAGAATTAGACCTTGGGGACAATTGGGAGACGGAACACTTTTTAAAGTGTGTAGTCGTCTTGGTTGAACCTGATCTTGTTTCGCTACTGGTTGGGGTCGTTGTTCGCTAGAACATAAGACCATAAGATCTCCGTTGTTTACCAACTGGAATACTTACCCTTACCTGTGGCATCCTTTCTTTGGTTCTCGCTTCTGTTTCTCGCTTTCGGTCTTGGGGTGTAAAGAAAATAACAACCAAAAAACCTAAGAAAAAAGTTAAAAAAAAGAAGTGACAAGGTTAAACCTCGCCAAAAAAAACAACAAAAAAGAAAAGTTTTTAAGGATCCTAATATAAACATACTCTACCCCTTTTAACCTCCTTTGCCTTTTGGCGGTCAGTTAAAAATCATCGGGTTATTTAAGTTAGAAGTCTTTTAATGAACCCTTATAAGCAAGATCAAGTCTTTTCTTTTCTAAAAACCTCTTATGGTTTTTTTCTTTCCCTGATCCTACTTGTAAGAATTATTAACTTACTTATGTTTTTAACTAATTCACGGTCATTTCTTTTTTTCCATCCTAGTCCAATAAATCCAAAACAACAATAACGCATCCTTTTGGTGTTCATCTATTTCTTGGCCTTTGAATACTCACGCCTTTTTTTTCGCCCCTCTTGTTTCTTTTCCTTCCTCTCGTGGTTTCTTAATCCTTACTAGTCCGCCAATGTTT